AAATTGTAATATATATTATCACGCACATAGCCTATACTCGTATTTTTCCCATTGCTAAAACCTAGTTGTTACTGCTGTGATTGACTTTATTGCTTGACAATTGATAAACTATGTATCCAAGTTGTATCCACAGATGTACTTAAAGTGTTCCAGTATCTATGGTCTACTTGGTGTCTTGATAAGGTTCCTACTTTTTGCTTGACGTTAGCTAGATTTTAATTTATAGTGAACTACTGCAACGCCTGTAATCAATATGATGTTAGGTTGCAATTGTAGTTCATTTTTACATGCCCAGATTCTTATAACAATTATGGAAAGTTTGTAGCTATACCTAAGAGATATATCGTTTTGGGCTTGATGGCATTGCAGTCGTTATATTTCCATTAAAAATCGTAATGCAGAATTCGTAGCAGTTTTTATGCCGGCATTGAAAAGAACTTTAACGCCATACACTAAATCTTTCATCATCGCGTTTTCTGGATAGCCAACTAGATGAAATACTGATAGCCAGTCTGATAACCCTGTACAGCTATTTTGGCTAGATTATAATTTGTCGTTATAACGGTAATGTGCAGTATATTTTAATAATAATATCGTCCAGATTCAGTGCTTGAGCCCCCAAAATAAGCGAACGCTTAGATTAATTATAGGCTAGCTGTAGAATTGCTATTAAGCAATTTTTGATTGGGTACATTAGGCCATAGATTCTGTGCACACTGTACAGTGTACAGTATTTATAAACCATGTCCTAATCTACTAGTAGATTCTAAAGTTTCAGTCGATGACTAATTTCGCCTTCCTTCTTCACCTAAATATAGCTATATTAACACCTGAATACTTCTTCAGTGGCACTTTAACAGTCTTAACTAACGTTGCTTTATTAATATTCATGACGTTTCGTCGTAAATTAAGAAGTAGCCAACATGCAATTACGATAAGTTCCCTTGTGACTGCTTTCCTTTTCGCTGCGATCTATATCTTTCCACGGTTTAGCTACGCAATCAAGAGATTCAATGATACTCAAGTTCAACCAGATGATGTACGCTGTGGACTATTTTCACGCATTGGTTTGGCTTTATTTCTATCTCTAAGTTGCCATATATTGCTAAGAACTATACAAATGTATCTTATGATTTGTCATCCTTTTAAATCAGCCAATTGGTTGTTAAAACGGAATACATACATGGCATTGGTATTGGTCTGGTCTATGACTATTGCAATACCATTAGGAACACAAATTTATTTTGAAATTTCTTATACCTACATTGGTCCACAAACATCGGATTTTTGTCGAAATTCTTCTATTGAATTCCTAAGATACTGTAGTATTATTACAGCCATTTTTTCCATTCTAGTGTTATTCCTATTAACCATAACTTATGGCAGAATATTAATTATAACAAATAGAACACGAGCTAGGATTCGCACAGTAAGTGTTACTACTTCATCGACTTCAGATAATCGTATGCCGAAACTCAAGCGTCGTAGTAAAGCCATGAATCAAGTTTTAACCGTCTATATGCTATATTTTTTATTTTGGATTCCTTTCCTTATCATGGTTCTTTATACTCAATATAATCCTGATCTTCAAAGGGAAATTTGGCCTGATTCAACCTACGTTGCTTTACGTACAACTCAATATATTGCCTTTTTATTTCCGGCTATTCAACCCATACTTTTTGCAATATTTACATCAGATATTTATACTGAGATAGCTAAAACATGTCATTTTCATAGACGTAGTATAGCAAGTAAAAAATCTACTTTCAACGATTGTTAACTGGGATCGACGTTACTATACAAATTCGTCATTATCCACTCTTATTATGATAAATTTCAGTATTGACTTTAAATTTAAAAGATTTGCTCTTTGAATATTTTTTTCAGATGTTGTGGCTACTTTACTGCCAATTTGAATTTTAAACTGCCTTACGTATATAATATCATATTGGTAACGAATTCATCTATCAGCAGATATTGTGATGCTATCAATGCTTTATACCATTCTAGATCTAGTATGCCGTGGGATGCAATGGTAATTGTAAGCTGGAATTATTACATATTGCAATAATTGTAAACTTATGCAAGACATTGAATTTCGGTTGCTTCCAATGATAAAGGTTTGTTTGATATTTGAATTGTATAATGTGTAACTCTCGCACATATACATACTTCTATTCACATTGAAGACAAATTTTTACCGTAATTTATATATAATCACCGATATGGGTGCAATTTTAATATACATAACTATCATTATTTTATATCATAATATTTCAATTACCATTGCGTTACCAGTTTATTTTTCTTAAATTTGTATCTCTATAAAATAAGATTTCTCTTGAACAACTGTTCAATTAATTATCAATAAAGATATTGCTGAGAAAGTAATTGTGATGACTCATAGGATATACCTTAAAAGAGGCAATTTCACCTCATATTGAAACTTACTGTCAAGAACTTCAATTACTCAAAAGATTGGAATTGATAGTTACTACGAGTGTGAACTTATTCCCCAATATTTATATTTTTATGGCTGGTCACCAGTTAGTAAATTCTTCTATCTAGCATCCTTGATTTCGCCGTCTAATATCCAATTTTAATGGAAATAAATCTATTAGCTAATTATCAATAGAGTATTCAATTTTTACAACGCGCTCCACAACTTAATTAATACTGTGCAATGATGGTATAGGCAATGTGTTACCATCACACGAGAATACGGGTATACGTTGTTTATAATATTTTCCCTCTACGTCATTTAAGGAAATGAGTTATATGGAGTTGCTCTCATCATGGAACATAAAAACTGACATTATAATAAGTTTCAAGAATTGTCCAAATCCTGTAATAAATAATAACAATTGAAATTTTAATCATATAGCAATTGTCAAACGGCTATTCAACATTTTCTATCACCGAATTGAATAAATTCTTGATTGAATTTTTTTTTTAGATCTATAGAACCTTTTGTCTGCTGTATTGTGCTATATTATTTTTCTCCTTAACAAAACTTCCAAGGCATCATTTAGCATTTCACTAAAGTTTGACTTTGATCTATGATCGAAACTACTCTAGTATAGAACATGTGATCTATGTAACTCGAACGAAAATGAGCCTAGAAGTTAAGAAATGTAGTCTATATTTAGGTGATGATGTATCATGACTGCAATTTAATACATATCTAAAGAAGGCGAGGTATTCAATTTATCTACGAAAAACAGCAAGATTTTATTATTCATAGTCTCAAAGACCTTTGAATTTATTAATTAATTTTAACAGGATTTATGCTGTATTGATGGTTATTGATCTCTAGCATAGTAATGAAAAGATAATCATTTTTACTTCTAAACATTTCTATTACGTATTGTTGAACTTGTGTCTATAGTCAACGACAGATCCTCGTCTACTGGAAAAACAATCTTGTTGTTTTGCATCAACCCAAATATTCAAGCACAAATCCATCGTGAAACTTATTTCTAGGATCGACTAAAACTGAAACTAGACCTACTACAAGGAAACTGCAATAATTATATACCGCTGTCACAAACCAGCTTCGTGACAAGGATAACGTAAAATAAATCTCTAAATTACTATAGTCTCCGGGATTCAGTATCCCTTAACTACCTTACAAGAATTTAGACGCCTTTGCTTCTACGTTAAACTCAACTAGACAATTGAGAACTACTTTATTCAACTATCTGACGGGCTTATATACCCTTCTACAGCAGCTAACATTCACGAGTCATCTTATAAAAATACTTAGGTGAGAACATCTACTAGGTAATTTTTCACAGTCGAAGTACAATATGTTCATTCACAGAATCATTTCAGTGCACATTGCAGCACAGCATTAAATTTACTGTAACACATTTATAATTAGAGTAGTTCCTACTGTAAGTAACTAGTTGTAATATATTATCACTGTATTATATTAAACAAATTTAGATGGTTATTTCTTCACTGTAGTTCGTACCGTGACAACTGCATTCTTGTATGGAAATATTAGATGAATCTGGTTACCATTAATTCAGTACTTTGGTTTGTTTTAAAGTTAATATTACTAGTTACATAAATTAATCATTTCAAACAAAATAGCGTTGAATGATATCAGCTGTTCAAACTAACTTCAGATAAGTTTTACTTATTGAACACAAGGTTGTTTGTGTTTTTTATCCGGTGAATCCTAGGGGCTAATTAATTACACTGCAGCCTGTGTAATTTAGCAATGTCGTAAATGCACCAAAAGTGTGAAATGCACTGATTAATATGGTATTATGTACACAACATAGGAAAGCATGATAAAAAATTATTTGCTTTCGTATTTATTATCTCTTGATAAACTACCCAATAATACAGGTCCGTTATATGACATCTCTAAATGAATTTGAAATTATTAAAATACTCGTAAAGAAAAGAAAGCGAGCAGTTATTAACAATTTACGCTCTTGTTTGAAAAGGTCAAGCTTTAATTATTGATAGTCTATGGATAGTCATCTACTCTCTTATTCTATCATTCTGTTACATAGGAAAAAATGATTTTAAATTGGTAAGATTTGCAGTTGCTAAGTATAATCAAAGAATAACATACCAGCTGAGATTTTTTCAGATAAATACGTTAATATAAAACAATCTTGATAGGCGTTACCGTAGAAAGTAAATTTGCACCGAATTAGACTAATGGAAGTATGGTATTAAAATATATAGAGAAATTTCTTACAAGCTTTAAAATCTCACTGTTAGATAGAGTATTAAGATTCTATTTAACTCTATGACTATTAAAACTTTGCCAAAATAATAGGGCTACCCACTGTAAAATTAGTCAGCAATTGAATGACTATCATTACTAGCGAAAAACTCTTTTCCTGAACGGGAAAAATTCTCAAAAAGTATTGGATAAAAATGTAATTTAAAATTATTTTAATAGAATATTAGACCCGTTAGTATTTTACTAATAGTTTTAGGCAGTAGCATTTATAGATCGGTATAGTTTAAATAATCTAGTTGTGAGTACTTTCTGCAGTTTCTTTCTCACTTGCTAGCTCATTCATAATTATCTCTTCTTCTTTCGTATACGTCATCTTTGGAATAGAAAGACTGATTGCTTCATTGATTTTATCCCTATCCCCTGTAGCAATAAATAAATGATTATTCTATCGTTTAATCTGAAAAATTGGATAGGTCATAAGTTGATACTTTTCCCTTTAGTGAAGAAAAATTTCGACTATGGATTTATTACACATGATTCCGAATGTATGCTAGTGGAATTTATCGAATACTAGCATTTATTAATAGACTGTAAATAAATATACTAATTACCGTAGTAACTGACTAACCGTTAAGGCTGGCTAGACTAATAGCATTTATCATATCTAAGGAGGCGATGGTGGCAAAGTATAAAATCATATACTGTAGTATAGCTACTAATAAAAATTTTTATATCTATTACATTACCTGTTCTCATTTCTCGATAGTCTCTCGAAAGTAAACCGGCATCTGCAATAAAAGGACAAAAATTTATTTTATCATTTATATTAGATAAGCTTAAATATTGTCTTAATTTATGTATTAGTTATAAAGGCAATCTCAAAAATTATGAAAGTAAGCGAAAATACCTTCATGATCAATCAGTGATGCAACAGAAAATGCTGAAGATGCTCTACTAATAGTTAACTTTCGCTTACTAGAATGAGCACGAGCACGAGCAAGAATTTGATTGATTGCATCTGCACGATCAAAATTTTGCAATCTTCGGTGAATGTTAGCGATTTTCTCGTATAATGTCAAAACTTTGGAATGACCATTATCGTGAATGCTCAAAGTGATATTAAGAGCTTTTTGATAAACTGATAAAGCATCGTCTAATTTATTTTGCAAAGTATAGACATCTCCGATTCCGTTGTAGGTGTTTGCAACCTGCATATTGCCGTTGCCTAATAATTCCATTCGAATATGAAGTGAACTTTGAAATAATTTTAGGGCTTCATCCAATTTATTTTGTCGCTTATAAATGGTAGCAAAACCATAATATAATGAGGCAACGGGTAGATTTTTCTTCCCTAATATATTTAATCTAATCTTGTAGGCATTTTGATATTCAGTTACAGCATCGTCGTATCTTTCCAGTTTAACGTAGACATTGCCAACAGCATAATATGAATTGGCAACAGCTAGATCATCTTGACCTAAAATGGCCAATCGTATATCTAAAGCATTTTGATATGCAGATAGTGCATCTCGATAATTTTCTTGCTTCAAGTAAACATTGCCCTTACCATGATATGAATAGGCAATATGTAAATTTGAACTTCCTAGCAAGATCAATTTCATATTAAGAGCTTTTTGGTACATTTCTAGCGCATCGTAATATTTATCTTTTTTCAAATAAACATCACCCAATCGGCAGTATGTGTAGGCGACCTGTAAATTCTTGCTACCTAAGCTATCTAATCTTAATTTTAAACATCTTTCAAAAGCAACTACAGCTTTATCGTAACGAAATTGCAAGAAATAAATGTCTCCAATACAATAGTGAGTATACGCAGTGTCGATATTTTGATGTCCTAGTATTTTCCATTTAATTTTTAATGATGACTCATACATGGCTAAAGATTCATGATACTCATGCTGTTTTTCATAAACACTAGCGATGCTGTGGTATATATCACTAATGAATAAGCTGCTCTCACTGCATGTTTTTAATGCGATAATTAAAGATTTTTGGTACAACGAAAGAGCACTATCATAATTATTTTCCGCATAATAGACATCTCCAATGGCATAATAAGTATGGCATACTTGCAAACTTTCAGGACTCGATATTTTTAACTGTATTTGTAGAGATTTTTGATACATTGCAAAAGCATCATCGTATTGAAATTTCGAAAAGTATGCGTCACCAAGAGAATGATATGAGTCTGCGACCGGTAAATTTTCGTTTGCAAATACTTTTAATCGCACATCTAGACCTTTCTGATATAATGTTATAGCATCATCGTAATTACCTTTGGAATAATAGATATTTCCCATTGCATGATACGAATCGGCTGTGTAACAACTGGCATCGCTAAATAATAATTTTATTGCTGTATTTAGTGATTTCTTATACATGAGTAATGCTTCACGGTCGTTTTCTAATTTCCAGTAAATATTACCAATTCGTAGATAGCATTTAGTATTTTCTAAATTTTCTTCTCCTAGAATTTCGGTATATATTTCAAGAGCATTCTTATACATCAAATTAGCATCGTCATATTTTCCCTTATGATAAAAGACATCGCCTATTCCTAGATTGGACTGTGCAACGCTCAAATTTTTGTCTCCCAGTAGATCTAGTTTCATATTAAGAGATTTTCTGTGCATTGTTAGAGCTTCATCGTATCGAATCTGTGCCGTATAGACTACTCCAAAATAAAAATATGAATCAGCTACATCTAGATTCTGATCACCTAATACAGCTAGTCGAATATCTAAACACTTTTGATACATTTCCAATGCATTTTCAATCATTCTTCGTTGACGAAAAATATGACCCATAGCATGATAAGATGATGCTGAATATAAGTTATCATCATTTAAGGTCTTTGATGCAATATCAAAAGTGTGTTGATACTTTGCCATAGCATCGTCGTATTTATGCTGCTGTCGGTAAATATCGCCAATTGCATTTAATGTATCGACAATTTCCAGATTTTGATCATCCAGTAATCTTACTTTAATGTCTAGCGATTTCTGATACATATTAAGAGCATCATTGTATTTCTCTTGTTTTAAGTACACTGTAGCAAGGTTATGAAGTGAATTTGCTACATGTAAATGATGATTACCTAATGTTTCTAAACGAAGATTTAAAGATTTTTTAAATAAATTAATGGCATCCTCGTATTTAAGTTTTGCACAATAAACATAACCAATAGCTTGATATGATGAAGCAATATGTAATAGCATATTTCCTAGTAATTCTAATTTATTGTAAAGAGGATTTTGATGAGATAAAACATTATCCAGTTGCGAATTTTGGTTTCGATGCGAAATACTATGATAACTTTGGGCTTGGCCTAATTTATTTATTCCTAGTAAATCAACTCTAATATTGAGGTAACGTTGATAAATTAAAAGAGCGTCGTCGTAATTATCGTAAGAAAAGTTAATATCACCAATTTGGTAATTTGAATTCGAAACTGGTAAATTATTAGTATGCAATATTTGCATCCGAATTTGTAAAGATTTCTCATACATTAATAACGCTTCGTTATAGCGATCTTGAGAGAAGTATACATGTCCTATACCGTGATACGTATAAGCTACTCCTAAATGATTATTGCCTAGTACAATTAATTTCAATTGAAGTGACTTATTATATTGCACTAAAGCCTCTTTATAAATCCGCTGCTTTCTTTTTATGGAACCTTGACAGTCATAGCATCGCGCAATACGGTGTTTATCCTGGGATTTAGTGGCAAGCCCTACTGCTTTACAGCAGTAATCGAGTGCCTGTTCATACTGATGTGATTTATAGCATGTAGAAAACATATCTAGATAGATATCACATTGAATTTGATCATGGAACAATGCGTCGTTTGGTATGGTTTTTACAGTATCTAAAGCTTTTCTATAGCTATGTTTCGCTTCTTCAAGATTTCCCGTACTAAAATGCCGGTGACCAATTGCTCGAAGAGATAGAAGTTCATGACCGATTGACTTTTTTTTCTCCAATTTAGCTATATTTATCATTTTCGCTTTAGTCGCGTTACTGCCATTGGTATGCTTTACGTTACCAGTACTAGAACGTTGAGGCACCAATACCATTTGGCTAATTCGATGACCCATTTTATTAAATAATGACTACTATTTTATTTTGATCCAGTGATAAAGAGCCAAAATAATAAAAGATTTTTCGTTTAATAATAGCCCTACTCCGCTGATAAAAGTTGAAATCTTATAGCTTTAACGAAATGGTAAATTTGGAAATCTTTATCTATAAGAAACAGAAGATCCTCAGTAAGATGGGAATTAGTATCAGCTTTAATCTTCTCTTTTCGTGTCGTTAAATGTTTAAATTAGATCAAAATAATACCGCTCCTGGAACTATACTAGTGCAGAATTAACTATAAAATATTTTTAATACCATTGAAATTAGTAGCAATCTTTACTTTTTAAATCAGATCAAAATAATATCAGTGCTATAACTCAATTAGTGAAGGATTAAAGTTAAAACAGTTTGAATATCATTGAAATTAGCAGCTATCTTCACTTTTTAGATTAAGCTAATACCGTTACTAGAACTCGACTATTGAAGAATTAATATTAACATATTTCTTATACCATTGAAATTAGCAGCTATCTTTACTTTTTGAATCAGATCAAATTAATACCGGTACTAAATTGACTAGTGAAGGATTAATATTAAAAATATATTTAATAACATTAAAATTCGTAGCAATCTTTCTTTGATAGAAAGTCACATAAAAAACAGGATTTATTTAATCAAGTAGAGCTGTATTACGCTATCGTCGTTAATCGTTGTCGTTTTCACTCTCGAAGTGTTCGAATTTTTAATAGTCAACCCGAAAAGTCTATATAAGAATAGCCTTTTTCGGTAAATTAATGTTCATAGTAACGAGTGGGACCCAACAGTTACTGAAAACTTTAAGCAATTATTGAGATTGCATTTATTTATATCATTACGCATACGGCTCTCTTATACCTAGATCGAAATGTATACCCTAATTAATCAATAAGAAACTGTTTTTTATATAAATGATTGGTCGTACGTATCATTATTCATGGCAATAGCATCCAAAATAGGTCAACAATATCTCTAAATAAGTATCTTTAAAAGCAATTGTAGCAATTTTAAATGAAAACAAGATTGATGACGTAGTATAAGAGAGTAAACATTGTTATCCTTCAATCATAACACGTTCTTATTATGAATATATCGTATAACTGTATGCTCGATATAGCATGGAAGAAGGGAGGAAATAACGATAAATCAGAGTCATCTATATGTCTGTCCTTATATTTTAACCAGTATCTACGACAAACAAATCTGCAAATATAGTACATTAGTATGTAAAAATCGAATGCTCAGATGCACATATTCAAACTACGTGAATCTATGAGTACGAAATCGTCATGACAACCAAAGTTTAGAAAGATGATGATTACCTTGCTTACTGTTAGTTAACATTAATAATATTGTATTTATTCTAAAATTTATGAATAACAATATCTTCAAACTGATGATAGACCATATTTTTGCAAAAGAAACGAATATTCTAGATTAATAAGTTGCAGTTGTCAACTTTTTTGTTACCTTACATCATATCTGATTCTAGTCTATCGTAAATAGAAGCATGCATAATTAAAGCCATTATTTGTGACTAGTTAATAAGCTATGCAGTAATTATTAAGAGTTATATTATTTAGATTGGAAAATTCCACACTCTCTTTCGTACACTTTTGGAATATGGTTTGAAAATAAATAAACACAATGGCTATCATATACGAAAATAAGCGCTAAGGTTATAATTTAATGGATCGACAAGTATACTGCATTACGTATACTCTAATAGTAATAGTATCTGATAGTAATAAAGTACAATATTTTTTGTCTTACAGCCAAAAGCATAAAGCATAAAGCAATCTACTATAAAAAAAATCGGTGGCGTAGTATTCGTATGAATATCATCGTTTTCTAGCATTTGCTTGTTTATTTTGTCACACGATTACTAAAAAGTCCATTTTTATCGATTCAAATTTCCTTTCCACTGAGAAAGCACATGAGACAATTAATTTATGGTTATTATGGTATCTTCCACAATATTTCATACTTTTTAATTGACCGAAATAATTTTAAAGAGCAATTACTTATTTGGACTATCTACAAAGTCATAGTGTTGGTATTGTACTTATAGATAAGTAATAATAATTATCATTGAATAATTTCTACTACAAATTTATAAACTAAATATTAAAGGTACTTCTTTTATTATACAGTACTAACTGCTGTATCAAAACTTGGATAGCAAAATGCAACTGAATTGCTTGATTTTGTGGCGGATGGTACGTTTACTGATGGGGCCTTAAAGTGAACAAATTTTACGTTTACTTATTATTCGGTACTCATTAGAATAAAAATTTTCAAAATTATCTTGGCCTTATTGAATCAGAACAAGAATATATAACTGAAAATATAATATAACTTAGATTACAGTTTACCAGAAATTATAAGTATATCAAATATTGATAAACTTATTCGAGCAAAATAAAGTTAGTAATATTCACCGCAAAAACTGTAAACTATTTACCGGCAATCTTGTCGTAATTAATGCCACGAAACTTTAAAGGACAAAAATAAAATACGCATTTATAAAATCTTTGAGACAGCGCGTAGATTGTCTCTATAGTCATTGCGTATACTATACCAACTTATATTAGTTATAACTCGAGTAAAGGAATTACAAGCAGAAATGTGAATGTAATTTTATTGCTTTAACATCTATTAAAAAACATATGAATTTGGAGTAAAAGCTAGTTTTAGTAGGAAGTGGATAAGCTATGTTTATGCATTATCCAGAAATTTATCAATTTTTCAAAAGCATGACTCTCTTAATAGGAAAAATAATATCAAAAACTAAAATTTGAAAAATTCGAGAAAGTTAAATCATTGAGTTGCAAAGCGCTCGAATATCTATACGATTCCATAAAGTTACAAGAAGTTGCTTATACCTTGCCGGTGTAAATACTATATTTTCATGGGATGAAAATATGAGTGATTACTTATCAATTTTATACGAGAGGAACATTTTTCGTGTCAAATTAAAAAATTAGCTCAATTTTATCAACTACGCAACATAAGTTTAGACGTCAGACTCAATGACTTGATAATAGATATCCAAAGACCAACATTCCATAAATCAAGTAGCTATCGTGTAGCATTTATTTTATGATAGATTATCAGCCTTACTAACTACGCAGAGACAGCTGACTGCTTTTCAAAGTTATATATATTCACGTCGATTTAAAATAATTTTACTTACTTGTTTTAAAATGGAGTGTAAGCTTTGAGTGATAATACTTTCATTTCATCGTTAATCAGAAATAAATGAAAGAATCTTTGTGTAATTTCACCTTAAGGTCCAAAATTGCAGTTAATTTCAGTTTAAGCAAGTTTCAGTCTTTGTTAGATTTAAAAATCTTTCACGACATATGCTATGTTACGACGTTCCTGTAGTGTTCTCTGAGCAGATAAAAGTAACCCAGTTCGAAAATCTTTGTCTATATATCACCGTCAATGAGTTCCGGTACATCAAATAAATGGGAACTGTCAAATAAAAATAATGAATTGAATTTTATTGTATTTTAATTGGTATTATGCAGTCTAATTAAGAGGCTAAAGTTGATTTAACTAGAAGCTAAAAATTATTGAGAATAATAAAGTAACCTGTAAGGTTAAATATTTGACTTCATTTAGATGCTCTTCAGACGCTATAACATGGTTGAAAACGCATGCACACTTATACGAAACTATTAATGTTAAATAAATATATATTACTTTCACAAGCAGTTTATCTAAATTTATGAAATTTATTTCATAATAAAAATAAAGTATAATAAGCTGTAATTTATTAACTTTAGCCAGTTTTTAACATTGTAACATCATAAATTGATCAATAAGGCTGTAGTCCTGTTACTGGGCTTAATGATGTACGATGATATTATCAGATATATCTTAAAGATTTTAACACTTTTCCTAAAGTCCCTGGTTTGATAAGTTTAATTGAAGTAAATCTAACAGAAATTTATCTAACCGTTTTCGCACCATGCATATTAAATTTTTCATAACATGCAATATATTAGAATATAATAAAAAGTTTTCAACTGTTAATGTCCTAGGTTACAGTTTTATTAAATATATTAAATGTTTCTGCTATTATTACGTTACAATAACAAGAGCGGCAGGTGCGTTAATCTCTCTTATATTCTGATACTTAAATAATTAATTCCATAACATCTATGATAATGATAGATTGAAAAGCATGTTCTTTGTACCTGAGAGAGCTGCTACTTAACTTTAAACGGTGAACATTAGTAAAAATTCAAAACTGCTTAAATAGCATTGCGGGATATTAAACAGAAGTGTATGATTAATTAAGTGATTCAGCGAATTTAAAATTTTGCTTCAGGTAGTATGGCTCGGAATATCCATTTAAAAATAACATCTCGCAGTCAACATTGTAGGAAATGGAATGACGGTGAAATAGGCTTTCATTGATGATTTTTTGAGTATCTATTCATCATTTGCATAGATATAAGAGCTCAAGCAGACAAATATTAAATTCTGTCTATTAACTCTTTCTAGATGCATAACATATTCATTTTTGAGAGAACTCGGGAAATAATTTGTTTCTTTTCGTCGAATTAGAGATTATTTTGTGAAATGAAAGCTATGAGCTATAGCTAATAATAAATTGCATCATAGATATTGTTGATGACAAATAGTTATTCATGCGTTAATAAATTTACTTTTAAGTATTAAAGAATTCATAAAAAAGGGATACTTGAACACTTTTACGATTTGTTAATTCTTTAATATGAAAAATAAACAAAAAAATGATAAGTATAATTACCATATGATATCTAGATAACAATTATTTAGTCTAAATACGATAAGCAGTATCACATCTGATAATTATCTATTTAATGACGCATAACTACCCGGATACTATTTCACATTTTAATCAATAAAATAGATTTTAATGCCTTCTCATGCCTTAAACGGACCCCAATCAATAAATAATTTAGTTTATCTAGGACGTAATGTT